TACACACCCAATGATGAGGCAGCACAGCAGAACTTGGGGTGGGAGGGCTTACAATGTTAGTATAACCAAATAGAATGGTTGTCACAGTAATAAAATGAAACTTAATTTCTTTTGCACCAATTTTTAATTTGCTATAATTTTTGAGTAGGAACAAGTCCAAGAATTTTTACATGGAAAACAAATTCTTGAGAAGACCAATGAGAAATTACAAGAACGAGAAAGAGAGCTAAAGGATACTCTTCAGACGAAAGAGGTATTGAAAATTCTGACAGTTAGATTTTGATATTTACATATCATTATTATGAAGATATAGCTTGAAATATATTCCTGTTTTAAAATAATCATACATTTGATCGTTAGTCTTCCTCTCTGTGTTGAATAGCAGATGAGCAGCAAATTGAAGCTGCATACCTTTCTCTCATGGCTATCTGCATCTGTCTTCTCAGTGGGTGCTTCTTTACTACTTTTATTATGCAACAGCCCTATCTCAGAGTTTTACAGGTGGGAAAGTGTTCAGAATTTTTAGTGTGCAGTTCTCCCATATATGACCAATAATTCTTTTTTCATAAAAAAATTCTATCAGAAAGAAAATAATAACTGCACAATTTCATATAGGAACCATCTATCTGGAAGCAGCTGCTGACACAGATATCAACTCCAGAACTTTAATAGCTAGATTAACTGTAGATTTATTTATTTATTTTTATTTATTTATCAAACTTATCCCCACCCATCTCCCCCCAGTGGGGGACTCTGGGCGGCTTACAACAGCTTAAAACAATAAATAAATACATAGTTAAAATTTATTAAAAAAACACACACAGAGTAAAAGGAAGAGGAAAAATCCAGACCAGCATTTAAGTTTTTCATTAGGAAATACAAAATGGTCATGTACAGGTAGTTCTCACTTAATGACTGCCCTGTTTAGTGACCATTCAAAGTTGCAGTAGCACTGAAAAAGTAATTTTATGACCAGTCCTCACACTTATGGCCATCGCAGTGTCCCCATGGTCATATTTGGGCACTTCACAACTGATAGGCATTTATGACCATTGCAGTGTCCTACAGTCACATGATTGCCATTTGTGTGCTTCACAGCCAGCTTCCAACAAGCAGGGTCAATGGAGAAACTGGCAGTAAAATCACAAGTCACGCTCACATGGTGTCTTGCTTAATGACTACAGGTGATTCACTTAATGAGCATAGCAGAAGTGAGGTTGTAAGCCTGTTGTGGTCACATGATGTCTCACTTAATGACCATGTTGCTTAACAATGGAGATGCCAGTCCCAATTGTCATAGTTAAGCAAGGACTACCTGTATGTGGCTGTTTCTGGCAGTTTAAAGACTATTATTTCATTTATATTCATAGTATGGACAGTTGGAACACATGACTAGTAGCAAGTTTAGATTTCTAATTAGTTTCAAATATTGCATTTGGATTAAATATAGCAAGGTATTCCTGATCTAGTATCTGTTGTGCTTTCAATAAATCATTCTAGAGGCAATTGTCCCAATATTGTCACTAACATATATCCCAGTTGTCCATATCATCAGTTAGTATCATGAATAAAAGTTACTTGAAAAAGTCCAAGCAACATTTGAAATGTAATACGCCACCAATCCATTTGCATATTATGCTAAACCATAGTGAGATAAATGTGAGCAGGAAGAAGCTGCAAACTACAGGCTCCTATGCTATCTCATTTTCCTACTTCCCCTGAATCTCATCTAGTTGTGCTATCTGGAGTGGGGCTAGTAAGACTCCCATGAAACATGGCACTAGCCAGAAAGTAAGTAAAATTGAAAGCTGTTGATTTCAGCCATGTAGAAGAGATGCATACATGAAAGAAGTTTTTGAAGTACAAGTGTTTACCTCAGATTTAGTTTCCTTGGATAGGATAGAGGATAGTAGAGAAATGCTATGTATACAGTATTAATATACTTTTTAAAAGTTGGGTTGTTCCATGAAGAAAAAAAATGTTAATGCATAGCTGAATAGCACTTTTAGCCAAATGCAAACACAAAAAAAATGTAAGTCGTCTAATTCTTCAGAGTTCTTAATTAGTCCAAAAAGTAGGTAAGCCTTTTCAGCATGAAGTTTGCAGTTAGACTCAGTTTCAAGTAGATTTGGGCTGCATAAACCTGGATGACCGCTAGATAGCAGCAAAGAGATACAGAACCAGTAATTTCTAGTTTCAAGATTGAACATATTAGCACACAGCAAGTCTATAGAAATCAAGTAATGTCTAATATTCAGGGACAGAAAATTATTAATTCCTTTGCCACCACCTTCTGAAAATATAAAGTTTGCTGAGATTCAACTGTTTCCTGCCCACTATGTTTCCTTCCCACTCTGTTTCCTGCCAGGTATGAAGCACACAGACTCAGCATAAGATCCTACATTTTCCAATTGTGGCTCAGACTGATTAAAATGACTATAAGTGGGGCCTTGGATTCATAACTTTTTATAAAATTAGGGTTGCAGTTGATCTTTCAGTGGTATGGTGAGAATCACAGTCTAAAATGTAGTGAATGGAGCCAGCACAAAAAAAAAATTGGTTTTCATTTACATGTAATTAAAATTCAGTATAGTAAATATATGGAACAATTATATTGCTATAAAAGCATAGTATGGTGGCTATATTAATATGTTTTTCCCATTAAAAATTCTTGTTTAGTAGCAAGTTGTGCACTTAGAAACTAGGTTGTCCACTTTTGAGCTAGGCAGTCATTTTCTCTTGTTCAGCATGTGGATGTGGTCTCAATCCCTTTTTGTGGTTTTAGGAGAACCTTTTACTGTGCTAACTGATCAGATTAAATCTTGGATCTGAAGAGTGTTAAACATTGCCTAGGACATCCACAGATGACTACACAGTATTTTAGGCTCCAAGGATACAAAATAGGAAGACCACTGAGAAATTGTTCAGACATTTCCAAATAATTTAGCACAATATCTAAACTATCTTAAGGCATATTCCTTCTTCTCTATCTGCTCCCAAAGTAATGTGCTAACAACTTACTATGTTTTGATTATGTATGTGTTCTTATGAAGAAGAGCTAAACTTGCAGATAAGAATATGAAATACTAAACCACACTTAAATATAAAATGTGAGTCCCAGTAAGAAAGGTACATGCAAAGTCCTGTTAAATAATACAAATGGGAGGTGGAATACACTCCATCCATTATATAAATGAATTTATCATGAGAAGTTTAGTGTTCTATTTCAATTATTTCTGTATGTTCTAAGCACTAGATCTCCAGTACTTAACCAAACAAAACAGCCCTTCACTTTAATTAAACAATTAATATTTTAGACAGCACTTTATTAGTAAACTGTGGGCTTAATAAAAACTAGTGGCTAGAATCTTTACATAGACCAGATCTAATGTGACTGGAGGCCAGATAGATGGGATAAATAGGCTGTAACCTATATTTCTTCAGATTCAAAATATATAAGAGGGCATTCCCATTATGGAATCAACTTTAATGGTAGCAACCTTAGGACATCCAAACTGGATTAGAATTGTAGTACTAGAAGAAAGGGTAAATTTTCCTTCATCTGTCAATCTTCTATGGTACAAATAGGATATTTTAATTAAGAAATAGAATGGAGGACAATGTTGGCCATCCACAGCACCAGATTCCTAGGAAAATTACCTTCCATCTCTTTATAACTGCTGTTATCTTTAAAGAACCAACCTAATCCTCATAACTGATTCTAAACATCACTTTAGGTAAACATTTCAATTCAAAAGCAGCAGGAATTCCATTTGAGTTAAGAAAACGTATAACAAGATAAAGTAAAAAAAAAAAAAAAAGATAACATTTTGTTTTCTCAAAATCTTTTTTTTAATGCATGACTAGATATCAGAGCAGTATTATTTCAATCTTTTCATTTAAGCAGTTATGTTGTTTAGTATACTAATGATGTTATTGTAAACAAAATCTTATAAAAGTACATTCATGCATTAATTGTTACCTGCAGAAAGAAATACATGATTTGGAAATGCAATTATCTGATGAATTCGAAAATAAACAAAATTGCTTTCAACAGCTTACAACACTGAAAGCAGAGCTTGAAAAAGAAATGTATGTACTTATATTAATATATGGTTAGCATACTATTAGTTATGAAAGGCTTTCATGATTGATTTATTTTTAACATGTAGAGGATATGCAGGACATAAATATTTTAAATAAAATGTAAATTGTTTTGTTTCATGAAGGAAAATCTGTGCCTTTAATGTTTTACAATACTCCTTTTATTAAAATAATTTTACACAGCTGTTACTTTGAAGGTAATTAAATAATGAACTACAATTAAAGCCAGAATATAAAAATTATTATTTCATTTTTATCCAATCATGCTGTGGTTTCTGGATGTAAGTAAATTTGTGTTTTGAAAATGGTTGACTGATCTTTGTTTTCTTCATAACCTGTTTTTAGCATTTTCATTACTAGTGTTCTCATAGATATATATATATGTCACATGATGAGAAGAGGTAAGCATTTAGGGTTGGAGAAAATTGAGTTCTGCACCTTCTAGTTTGAAGTGGCTGCCAGCAGAATACACAACTACTAGCATTTACATTTTTCCCAGATGCCTTTTCAAAAATTCCAGTATAATACTAGGATGGATTTTAGATAATTGCCCTTTTAAGTCTGATGATATATTTGGGTGATACAGTACTTTGAGAAAACCAAAATCCAAACCTCCAGATTTATCTGGAAATGCATCCTATCAGAGTGCTCCTACCATAAGCTGGTGTGGATCTTGGAAAAGTTGCTGGAAGACAGCACAATTCACTTATTGAAGAATTTACTATAGGTCCCAATTTAACAATTCAGAAAACAGTCACATCTTATTTGTACTGAAGTGGAAGCCACCTAGTTTGATTCAGAACTCAGATGTGAAGCAAGTTCAGAAATCTGATTCTTTGTACTTTCTATCTTTTACTTTTTTGTAAAATGAAATGAAATTTGCATGTGGAATATAACCTTCCTAGGCCTGCCAAATTTAAGCACTAGGTTTTTTTACATTCCATTTTGTTGCAGTTGTTGTTATACTTTATATCCAATTATTTGTGCAAATAAAGATACTCAAGATGGCTAAGAAGTGAGGTAATTAGGGTTTTTTGGGGGGGAACAGTTAAATGGCAATTGCAGAAGTTGCCCTTTTATTTGCCAAGCCTTTTCAATCTCAGAAAGAAAGATGCAGTGTTTGCTTAATTTGTTTTTGTAGAATGAGTCTTCAAAGTTTTGAAAGTTCAGAAAAGCCCTTAAGCCTGGCAAGATTTAATGGCTTTCCAATAGTTGTTTTTGAGGGGAAATTATGGGGCTTCCCATCTGAAGGAAGACTTTGCCCCTATGGTGAAGGAATTCCTGAAATATTAATCCACTTTTTTAATATTGCCCTTATTATAAATATGCTTGGTTGCAGCTAATAACTTCCTGTCTAGTCATATTTGGAAGTCACCCAGATCCATTTTATTTACAGTTACTACTGTTTGATCAGTGTGATTTTATTTCGCTGAACGTGGCTAAGGGTTTTTTGTTTTTGTTTTTTGCTATTTGTAAAATATGCCATACTTCGACCACATCAGTTTTATAATGATTGAGTTTTACAGTGATTTTCATTTGCTGTCTTAGAATGTGTCTGCTTTTTTTTTCTAAAAACAAAAAGTGACCATAATATAATTTACTACTACTATTCCTGCTACAGTTTTGAAATGGTATTATTTGTTGAATAATAATTTGTTTCAGAAGTACACATAGATGTGGTCTTGGTACAAAACTTGTCAATTTATAGAAAAGTATTTTTAGTGGTTTTTACGCTAGGTGCCATTAAATTGCTATCAGGATCAAAGTTCCTTAGCTGATCTTTTATTAACCTTACGTCTGCTGGTTACATCTTGTCCCATAATGTTGTTACACATTAGTTTTATGGAAAAAAATGGAAAAATATAAATAATTGTTTCTATTATTATTAACAGTCTAAAGAATGAGCAGTTAAGTATGGAGTGGAACAAACTTTTATTCGAGAAAGAACAAATTATAACAGAGAAAAAGACAGTAGATAATGAACTTCAAAAATGTAAAGATAATATTAAGGCAAGTTCTTGACTGTACATATTTTTTTAACTAAACAGTCTACATCTAGATTGCTTTTGTGCCAGTGATTGTTTTTAATTTCAGAACTAAATTATAATTGTATGCTTCCAGTGTATCTTACTGTGTCTTCACTGATCCCTAAATATGGATAGGAATGCAACTTAAATGACTATTTAAAAAAAAAAAGGCTGAGAGGTACTCTGAGTGAATGTTCTATTACTGGCCATTTAATAGTTATGGTATATATAGTTAATTTATTCCAGTTTTGCATTTTCTACATTCAGTTGCTTGTCTTTTATTTCAGAACAATAAGAATATAGATGAAGAAGCCAAAAATCAAATAGAAATTTTAAAACAAAACAACCTCCTGTTAAGGTAAGCCAGAATAAGAATGTTTACTATAGAATGTCCAATAAAATTTAAGTTTAACAGCAATAGAATGTTGTTCTTTTTGAGAATAGATCCTAATTTTATAGTCTGATTCTCACATTCTGATGCCCTGTTTGCTAATGTAAACTTGCATATATTTTTTAAATGGCTTTAAAAGCAAAACACCTCTTATTGTCCAATGCAAAACAGGGTAGATGTTGTAGTCTCATGTTATATAGTGGAGTGATATTTCAGTTTGAAATGTTGGTTGTGTGAGTGTTGAGGTGTGAACCAGTGTTTCCCAGGCTATAGATAGCCATTATTGAAACATGCAACATTTGTTACATAGATTATTATAGAAAAAAATCCTGATTGTTCAGATTTCTCTGTACTGAAAATGCATAACATACACACACAAATGTGGCATAGTGAAGGGGGTAGAGAAGAATCAATTTGCCTATCCAAAACTAGTTGTGGAGGAAATTAGCTTAAAGAGGAAGAAAAGAAAGGAAGATCCAGAGGCAGAAGAGCTTTGAGAACTCTGTGATTCAGATTTCTTTGTTTTGTATTTCAAAACAGTGCTGTTGGAAGAAGGATGCAGTAAATAAATAGTAAAAACATTAATTCTTGAACTCTCAACCTACCCTGCCACATCCTGAGGAAAGTGATTAATGATAAGTGATTAAGTAGGTGGCACTGGCTAAAAGAGGAAAGAATGGCAGAGAATTTACAGTTGTTGCCCTGAAACTATCTTGCATAAATTGTGAGAGAGCATTGTGAGGAATAACCCAATACTGAGAATATAGAATTAAGAATCACTGCCCTACTCTGAGTGGCTTTTACCACCACTCCCAATTCATATCCTAACTGTATCTTGTGTGCATTGTTTGGCTATACAGGTAGTCCTCAGTTAACGATGTTACGAGCTATGATGGCACTGAATGAGTGGTACTTAAAACCAGTTCTTGAAGTTCCAGCTGTCCCAGCACTCCTATGGTCATGTGATCACAATTGGGGGGCTTGGCATCCTGTGGTCATGTGATCACCATTTGTGACCTTCCCTGCCAGCTTCCCACAAGCAAAGTCAATGGGGAAGCCAACAGAGAAGGTTGCAAGTTGCTCCTGTAAGTCTCTCCCACTCCTGCTTTCTCTCTCAAGGAGCCTGGCTACAGAGTATGAGTTCCTGGGGATCTTGTATTCCATAGTGGGTGCAGGTGCCCCCCCACCTGCACTCCATAGTGCCCAGCTGCCTGGCTACAGTGCCATGACAACCACCGGTGCTCCCTCCCATACCTGACAGCAGCCACCCCAGCTGCACTGGTGCACCCTACCGCACCTGGCAGCAGCCAGCCCCATCACATTCATGCTGTAGCAGCCACTTACCTGCCTGCTGGCCTGCTTGCAAGCCACCTGGGACTTGCGACTTCCTGCCAGCTTCCCTATTGATTTTGCTTGTTTGAAGCCAGCAGGAAGTTGCAAGGAGGTCTTCGCATAATGACCTGCAATGCTCACTTAACGACAGCAGTAGGGACTGCCCGGATTGCCATCACTAAACAATATATTCACATGACTTCATGCTTTATGACTGCATTGCTTAGTGATGGAAATTTTAAGAGAAGGTGATATAGATAAATAAATAAATAAATATATTCCGTTCCCAATTACCGTTGTTAAGTGAGCACTACCTGTATACTAAAAAACTATGAGCAAGGCTTGATAATGTTTCAAATCACACTTCCGGGGAAGAAATGATGAACTGAAGATGGCTCCAATAACAGCGGAACTGGTGACTGCAGCGCAACGAAGAGCCGATGAGTAGACTGGCTCTTTATAATTCCTCTCCAGACAAGTAGAGGACTTGAGATGACTCACAAGTGCTCCATACAGTTGCTTCTCACAAGGAGACTGCAAGACAGCAGTTTCCAGTGGGTTTAGAGCTCTGGGAGACAAGGGAATTGCTATCTTGCTCAACCCACAGTCGGTGCCTTTAAGGACACTGGGTTCTCATACTTCGTTTTCTAATCTCTTTCGGAAATTGCTTGTTAACTGCTTTTCAGCTATTAGGAACCTTATGATCAATAATTTTTACAGCACTGGTGAGTTTCCTTCAATCCTTAGTGAAAGAAGTTTTAAATACAAGTTTAAGGACTTAAAAATATTTTTATGGAATAAGCAGCAAAAGGGTGATTAAAATTTTGATTTTAGAAAGTTGCAAATGGACTAAGGATCCAGATAAATTTGAAACAAGATTTTGGAATTAATTATAAGCATCCTTCCCATGGGAAAATACTTTTGTTTTGAATTCTTTAAAAATAATGATAGAATGGGACTTTGAAGGTTGGATACTAGAGGAACTAGAAGGAAGTAAAGATTACAATTAAAGGAGAAGAACACTTAAATTTGACTTACTAATACAGAATGGAGCAAAATATTTTAACATTCGACATATTGAAGGATATTTTTGAACAATGGACCCAGAAGTTAGTTTTAAGAGTGTCTGCCTCTGTAGATAGTGTTTAAAATATATTATGGAAAAGGAACAAGTTTTACCGGACAAGATTGAGAAAAGGGGATTTAAAAATGACAAGCTACAAGAATGACATAGAAAAAGATGCTATACTGGACATACAAAAGAAACCAGCTGCTATCTTAAAAAGGATATACAAATAACAAACCAAGAGAGTGACCTGGATAATCTTCCTATATTGGATTTACAAAAGAGGTTTGTTAAGTTTTGAAGAATTTTATGAGAAGGGACAAAAAAATGAAAAGTAATCAAGTTTTAGGACATTATTTGAAGGGACTAAAGATCAAGATTGTTAAAAGTAAAAGGAAGGAATATAAAGTTGGTGTATTTCATCAAGGTTAAAATAGATATTTTATGTCTGGTAACCCTTAATGGATTTCTGCTGATCAGGACTGAAATGATGAGGTTTTTTATAGATTTGTTTATAGATAAGAGAAGAAGACATCATTTGTCATATTTTAAGAGAAGAGAACCCTAACCCTAACCTCTCTAAGTTAGGCTATGCTACGCCTGGGATTCTAGCGATGGAATATGAGCAGGCAAGAATGGCCATAAAGCAAAGGACAGAGGATATAGAACGACAAGCAGATTTAGGGAAGGTTCCATCCCTTTTATCTCCTCCATGTAGCAAGGTTACTATCACTGCTGCCAGATATCTAGCGCAGCGTGAGCTCCCCAGTCATCGGAAAGCATTCTCCTTAGCTCA